GCTGACTACCATACATACCACACTTGATTTCTTACAATAAATACTACTTGTCTCACCCTAGATTAAGACTACAAATATTTTAAGGTAAGTAATGAGTGCACTATGTGTGTATTGTACTTTTTTATTTTTTTTGATGCCTAGTTATATTGCTAACTTAATATATGTTATTGTAAACTTGTTATCTAGTATTTGTATGCATTTATAAGGGAAAAAAAGGGTGTTCCACTTTATGGCGATTTCCGCTTTATGGCGGTAGCCTGGAACCTAACCTGCCGTAAGTGGGGCCCTACTGTATTATGTTTTCCTTATGAAACTATGTAGTGATCTAATGCAGTTAGCCTTTGCAAACACTCCTTTTTCTCTTATAATGAGAGCATGGGAAGATACTATAGTCAGTGGGAAAGTACGTAAATGATGGATGCTGATGCCGCTGCTGTTGACACCATCACTCGCCATGTTATGGCCTATTGTATTCATTCTAGAGAATATATCATGTTTCTATGTTATTAATATTGTTTATTATGTCATATTAGATGATCTGTGATAGATAAATAAGCCATAGAGTTGATATTAGCGAAATATTGAAGTATTCTGTTGTGCCTCCTGAGAGCAGGAATTCTGCTGGAATGAATTAATGGCTCTTCAATTAAATAAATGAGGAAAATTAACCCAGCATACGAACAAATCAGGATACGAACAAGGTCATGGAATGGATTAAATTCGTAAGCAGAGGTTCCACTGTATATTAGTGCATCCAGTACTGTAACCCATTCAATATATTTAATTCTTCAATAGTTTTAAAGCCATATTTCAAAATGTCATTTCTCTCTATGACCAGTTTAATTAAGACAGACTCATACTGCAAAAAAAAAAAAAATATTTATACCATTTATACCACATTTTATTTTTTTTTTTTTTTTTTTTTTTTTTATTATCACACTGGCCGATTCCCACCAAGGCAGGGTGGCCCGAAAAAGAAAAACTTTCACCATCATTCACTCCATCACTGTCTTGCCAGAAGGGTGCTTTACACTACAGTTTTTAAACTGCAACATTAACACCCCTCCTTCAGAGTGCAGGCACTGTACTTCCCATCTCCAGGACTCAAGTCCGGCCTGCCGGTTTCCCTGAATCCCTTCATAAATGTTACTTTGCTCACACTCCAACAGCACGTCAAGTATTAAAAACCATTTGTCTCCATTCACTCCTATCAAAAACGCTCACCATGCCTGCTGGAAGTCGAAGCCCCTCGCACACCAAAACCTCCTTTACCCCCTCCCTCCAACCCTTCCTAGGCCGACCCCTACCCCGCCTTCCTTCCCTACAGACTGATACACTCTTGAAGTCATTCTGTTTCGCTCCATTCTCTCTACATGTCCGAACCACCCCAACAACCCTTCCTCAGCCCTCTGGACAACAGTTTTGGTAATCCCGCACCTCCTCCTAACTTCCAAACTACGAATTCTCTGCATTATATTCACACCACACATTGCCCTCAGACACCGACATCTCCACTGCCTCCAGCCTTCTCCTCGGCTGCACATTCATCACCCACGCTTCACACCCATATAAGAGCGTTGGTTAAAACTATACTCTCATACATTCCCCTCTTTGCCTCCAAGGACAAAGTTCTTTGTCTCCACAGACTCCTAAGTGCACCACTCACTCTTTTTCCTCATCAATTCTATGATTCACCTCATCTTTCATAGACCCATCCGCTGACACGTCCACTCCCAAATATCTGATACGTTCACCTCCTCCATACTCTCTCCCTCCAATCTGATATTCAATCTTTCATCACCTAATCTTTTTGTTATCCTCATAACCTTACTCTTTCCTGTATTCACCTTTAATTTTCTTCTTTTGCACACCCTACCAAATTCATCCACCAATCTCTGCAACTTCTCTTCAGAATCTCCCAAGAGCACAGTGTCTATCAGCAAAGAGCAGCTGTGACAACTCCCACTTTGTGTGTGATTCTTTATCTTTTAACTCCACGCCTCTTGCCAAAACCCTCGCATTTACTTCTCTTACAACCCCATCTATAAATATTATTAAACAACCACGGTGACATCACACATCCTTGTCTAAGGCCTACTTTTACTGGGAAAAATTTCCCTCTTTCCTACATACTCTAACTTGAGCCTCACTATCTCGTAAAAACTCTTCACTGCTTTCAGTAACCTACCTCCTACACCATACACTTGCAACATCTGCCACATTGCCCCCTATCCACCCTGTCATACGCCTTTTCCAAATCCATAAATGCCACAAAGACCTCTTAGCCTTATCTAAATACTGTTCACTTATATGTTTCACTGTAAACACCCTGGTCCACACACCCCCTACCTTTCTAAAGCCTCCTTGTTCATCTGCTATCCTATTCTCCGTCTTACTCTTAATTCTTTCAATTATAACTCTACCATACACTTTACCAGGTACACTCAACAGACTTATCCCCCTATAATTTTTGCACTCTCTTTTATCCCCTTTGCCTTTATACAAAGGAACTATGCATGCTCTCTGCCAAATCCCTAGGTACCTTACCCTCTTCCATACATTTATTAAATAATTGCACCAACCACTCCAAAACTATTTTCCCACCTGCTTTTAACTTTTCTATCTTTTTCCCATCAATCCCGGCGCCTTACCCCCTTTCATTTTACTACTGCCTCACGAATTTCCCCCCACACTCACAACTGGCTCTTCCTCACTCCTACAAGATGTTATTCCCTCCTTGCCCTATACACGAAATCACAGCTTCCCTTTTCTTCATCAACATTTAAAAATTTCCCTCAAAATATTCCCTCCATCTTCCCAATACCTCTAACTCTCCATTTAATAACTCTCCTCTCCTATTTTTAATGACAAATCCTTTTGTTCTCTAGGCTTTCTTAACTTGTTAATCTCACTCCAAAACTTTTTCTTTTTTTCCCAACAAAATTTGTTGATAACATCTCACCACTCTCTCATTTGCTCTCTTTTACATTGCTTCACCACTCTCTTAACTTCTCTCTTTTTCTCCATATACTCTTCCCTCCTTGCATCACTTCTACTTTGTAAAAACTTCTCATATGCTAACTTTTTCTCCCTTACTCCCTCTCTTTACATCATCATTCCACCAATCGCTCCTCTTCCTCCTGAAACCCACTTTCCTGTAACCACAAACTTCTGCGAACACTCTAACACTACATTTTTAAACCTCCCCCCCATACCTCTTCGACCCCATTGCCTATGCTCTCATTAGCCCATCTATCCTCCAATAGTGTTTATATCTTCCCCTAACTGCCTCCTCTTTTAGTTTATAAAACCTTCACCTCCTCTTCCCTGATGCTTCTATTCTCCTTGTATCCCATCTACCTTTTACTCTCAGTGTAGCTACAACTAGAAAGTGATCTGATATATCTGTGGCCCCTCTATAAACCCTGTACATCCTGAAGTCTACTCAACCCGTCTTTTATCTACCAATACATAATCCAACAAACTACTGTCATTTCGCCCTACATCATATCTTGTATACTTATTTATCCTCTTTTTCTTAAAATATGTATTACCTATAAAATAAACCCCTTTCTATACAAAGTTCAATCAAAGGGCTCCCATTTTCATTTACACCTGGCACCCCAAACTTACCTACCACACCCTCTCTAAAAGTTTCTCCTACTTTAGCATTCAAGTCCCCTACCCACAATTACCCTCTCACTTGGTTCAAAGGGTCCTATACATTCACTTAACATCTCCCAAAATCTCTCTCTCTCCTCTGCATTCCTCTCTTCTCCAGGTGCATACACGCTTATTATGACCCACTTCTCGCATCCACCTTTACTTTAATCCACATAATTCTTGAATTTACACATTCATATTCTCTTTTCTCCTTCCATAATGATCATTTAACATTACTGCTACCCCTTCCTTTTCTCTAACTCTCTCAGATACTCCAGATTTAATCCCATTTATTTCCCCCCACTGAAACTCTCCTACCCCCTTCAGCTTTGTTTCGCTTAGGGCCAGGACATCCAACTTCTTTTCATTCATAACATCAGCAATCATCTGTTTCTTGTCATCCGCACTACATCCACGCACATTTAAGCAACCCAGTTTTATAAAATTTTTCTTCTTCTCTTTTTTAGTAATTGTATACAGGAGAAGGGGTTACTAGCCCATTGCTCCCGGCATTTTAGTCGCCTCATACGACACGCATGGCTTACGGAGGAAAGATTCTTTTCCACTTCCCCATGGACAATAGAAGAAATAAAAAAGAACAAGAGCTATTTAGAAAAAGGAGAAAAACCTAGATGTATGTATATATATATATGCATGTGCGTGTCTGTGAAGTGTGACCAAAGTGTAAGTAGGAGTAGCAAGATATCCCTGTTATCTTAGCGTGTTTATGAGACAGAAAAAGAAAAACCAGCAATCCTACCATCATGCAAAACAGTTACAGGTTTTTGTTTCACAGTCATCTGGCAGGACGGTAGTACTTCCCTGGGTGGTTGCTGTCTACCAACCTACTACCTTTTTATTATGTTTATAAATTAACTAAAAATATAATGATCAATGAAATTTTTCAAGCTACAACACAGTACAGTAATTTTTAAATGTATGTGCTTTACTTTATATAAAATGTATTGTATGCACCTTATTTTAATAGAAAATCTACTGTATACACAGTAATATGCACATAATGTATGTATACAGTGGACCCCCGGTTAACGATATTTTTTCACTCCATAAGTATGTTCAGGTGCCAGTACCGACCGAATTTATTCCCATAAGGAATATTGTGAAGTAGATTAGTCCATTTCAGACCCCCAAACATACACGTACAAACGCACTTACATAAATACACTTACATAATTGGTCGCATTCGGAGGTAATCGTTATGCGGGGGTCCACTGTACTTCTGTATATAAAGTGTACTATAAATTTATTTGTAACCACAACATGTGTACATACTACTATTCAACATAAAATGTACTGTGTACATGTTCATACTGTACCTGTGAGTGTGGATCCAGACCTAAAAAGTTGATTGCCTTATGCTGATGTGCTGACTGGATGCTCATGATCGCCTTCAGTAGCTTGCCCCTCGTCATGTGTGTATACCTCGACTTCTCCACTACCTACTCACAAACAAGAAAAGACGAAATTAACTTATTATGAATTAAAACTTTTCTCCAGGTGGGAATGGTAGTGACTGCGTGCTGGAGGATGGATGGGCAGTGACTGCATTCTATAGGATGGATGGGCAGTGACTGCATTCTATAGGATGGATGGGCAGTGACTGCACTTTGGAGGATGGATGGGGGATGCTGCAGTTCAGAGGGTAATCTGAATTGTGAAGTCAGAACACTTCTGGCAAAACAGCAAATGAATTAATGAAAGTGAATGCATTTTCTTTTGGGTCTCACAAAGCAAATTTTATATGTACATAGTTTCTATTTACATTTATTATTTAATTGTAAATTTAAAGCATAAAAATAAAGGAATAAGAGATCTGTACAGAACAGCTCTGTACTGTGCAGTACATTGCTCTTATTACTGTATTAATAATTTTCTTAGAGTAATTAATATGTACTTCTTTTTCATAAATGTTACTTCATATAAGAATAAACACCTTGAGAATTTACAAAGATGTAAGAGATGTGACTCAAGAGAAGCAAACAATGGCAATGAATATTTTAAGAAGAAACTGTGTAAATATAATTTACTAGCAATGCAGAGCACAATTTACAGTAATCCTCTCTCTTTTAAAACAATGTGACACACTGTATAAAAGATATTAATCCACAGGCCAGGACTCACCTTGCCATCATGAAAATGAGTATCAGTGGCCCGCCCAAACTGGCCAGAAACTGTGTAAGCTCGAATCAGTCTTGCTTCTCGCACTGTGTGTGTTCTCTTGCTGCCCGAGTTGATGCCAAGCACACATACTCCTTCATATTATGGATACAAATTAGGTTAGCAAGATGCCTTTACAGATACATAAAACAATGCCGAAAATTTTTAAAAATTTAGCCAAGTGTAAAATAGACAGGTTAGGTTCCAGGCTACCACTGGAAAGCTGACATCACTGGAAAGTAGAATGCTATTGTTTCACTTATACAATCTCTGTTATTGCCAATTTCAGTTTTTGCCGACTTTTCGTCAAAATATTGCCTCCATTTTCGTCAATGGTACAGAACCTGTCCAGTGCCCAGTACGCACACAGAGCTACCTCCCACACGCATTCTCAGGCAGTGTCATGTTATTTCTTGGTGAGAGAACATATCCTGCAAGGCCATACGAAACATTTCATAATAATCCGTAGTTTTGGCACTTGTTTATTGTGTGTGACTACTAAATAAGCCACCATGGGCCCAAAGAAAGCTAGTGCCAGTCCTTTGGTAAAGAAAGTGAGGAACACTTGAATTGAAGAAAGAAATCGTACAAAAATATGATAGTGGCATAAGTGTTGCCGACCTCGCCAGGATGTATGGGAAGGTGCCATCAACCATCAGTCCCATTGTGGCAAAGAAAAAAGAAATTAAGGAAGCTGAAGTTGCGAAAGGGGTAAATGTGATAACGAAACAGAGATCACAAGCAATTGAACAAGTGGAGAAATTACTGTTGGTGTGGATCAGTGAGAAACTATTAGTGGGAGATAGTATTGTGCAGTCAATAATTTGTGAAAAGGCAAGGCAGCTGCATGACGATCTCAAAGAAAATGCCTGGAACGAGTGCCAGCAAAGGCTGGTTCAAAAAATTCAAGAAGCGAAGTGGCATACACAGTGTTGTAAGGCATGGTGATGCTGCCAGTTCCGACAAACAAGCAGCTGTAAAATTTGTGCATGAATTCAAAGACTCTGTAGAGGCTGAAAAATTCGTCTCCCAACAAGTGTTCAATTGTGATGAAACAGGCCTCTTTTCAAAGAAAATACCAAAGAGGACCTACATCACGCAGGAGGAAAAGGCACTCTTAGGACACAAGCCTATGAAGGACAGGCTAACTCTCTTGTTCTGTGGTAATGCTAGTGGGGGTTTCAAAGTGAAGCCTTTACTGGTGCATCACTCCAAAAATCCCAGCGTGTTCAAGAAAAACAGTGTCGGCAAGAGTAAATTGTGTGTGATGTGGAAGGTTAACAGTAAGGCATGGGTCATGAGGGAAATTTTCCTGGAATGGTTCAATGAAGTGTTTGGCTCGAGTGTGAAAAAATACCTCCTGGATAAGAAATTGCCAATCCAGTGACTCCTGTTAATGGACAATGCTCCTGCTCATCCTCCAGACTTGGAAGACCAATTGTCTAAGGAATTCAGTTTTGTAACAGTGAAGTTCTTGCCCCCTAACACCACTCCTCTCCTCCAGCCCATGGACCAGCAGATCATTGCAAACTTCAAAACATTGTACACCAAAGCAATGTTTCAAAGGTTCTTTGATGTGACCTCAGACTCTGAATTGACCCTAAGGAAGGAATCACTTCAATATCTTTCATTGCATAAGCCTTATAGATAAGGCTTGGCAGGGAGTGACTTTCAGGATGATGAACTCTACTTGGAGAAAACTGTGGCCAGATTGTGTCCAAAAGAAGGATTTTGAAGAGTTTGGGGCTGACCTTGTCGACCCTCTGCCTGTTGTGGACAGTATTGTGGCATTGGGGAATTCCATGGAATTGGATGAGAGTGGCGAGGATGTGGAAGAGTTAGTGGAGGACCACAATGAAGAGCTAACCACTGAAGAGCTGCAAAAGCTTCATCGGTAACAGCAACATGGCACATCTGAGGAAATTGCTTCACAGGAGGAGGAAGAGAGATGGAAGAAGGTGCCTTCTTCAGAGATTAAGGAGATTTGTGCAATGTGGAATAGGGTGCAAGCATTTGTGGATGAACGTCACCCTGAGAAAGCTGTTGCAATCCGTGCCAGCCACTTTTACAATGACAATGCCATGTCCCATTTTAGGGAAATTTTAACCCTTTCAGGGTCCAAAGGCCAAATTTCAAAGTGTGCACCAGGGTCCAAGAATTTTCAAAAAATAATTTTATTTTTTTCTTATGAAATGGTAGAGTCTTTTTCTGAAGGTAATAAAACAAAAAGTACGAAATTTGATGGAAAACTGACGAAATTATGCTCTCACAAATTTTGATGTGTCGGTGATATTTATGCATCGACGATTATAACAACTTCGACTCCCATTTTAGGCCAATTACAGTATTCCAGTCAACCAAATTCTTAGCTATTTCACTAGTATTACTTCTATTCTATCGATTGAGCACAAGAAATCACCAAGTCAACTGTTTCAACAACAAAATAAAGTGACCGGAAATTGGTAATTTGGCCAATTTAATGCAAAGTTCAAAATATTCCAATTTCAAAATAGGGTCCAGAATAAACAATGCAGGCATTCCTGGCACTAAACTAACATTTCCTCTGTTCATTAGTTACGTTTTCAGGCTTTACAAATGAATTCCATTTTGATTTTTTATTCATATAATGAATTTTTATTCAAACCAAAAAATAGAAGATTTACTGTTATGCAATACTGTAATAATTGTATAAATAATATCACCACATTTGTGAATGTATATGAGACTCACCAGCTGTCATGTATTAAACTTGTGAGGTCATTTGTTTACTCTTGAACATCGGCAAAAATTTAACATTTCTGCTACTTTGAGCTCAATTTCAAACCATTTCCAATACTAAAACCAATCAAAATCATCTCTATTTCTGTAGTATATCTTCCATTCTATCAAATGAGACCAAGAAATTGCAAATACAACTATAAAAAAAACATACGAAAAAACACTGCAAAGTCGCTGTTTTAATCGGAAATTACGGTCTCGGTTTTTTCTCTCTCGTTATGCACTGTGTGCTGCAGGATTTGTTTTATGTGGTGCACACATACCACATTGATGCATTCTCTCATATCTGGGCCCAAATTTACTGCTCACAGCTTATCAGATCTGAGCTGAGCTCATGGCGTAGATCTACGGTTTGGACCCTGAATGTAAAGCCGTAGATCTACGGCACGGACCCTGAAAGGGTTAAAGAGATGCCAGAAACTGAGCTCTCTGGACCAATTTTTTGTGTGACAGAGGTCCAGTGACTCTCAAGCTTTGTCTTTTACTGTCACTAGGGCAGTAAAAGACAAAGAAGGAAAGTGACCCCAGTTATATAAGGGCTTGGTACCTAGAGTCCTTATGGAGGGGGATTCCCCTTCCAAAGAATAACCTCTCGTAACTCTCCCCTCCTCCCTGTCTTCCATACACCAAGAGTCTTCAATAAAGGTAAGTGTCATGTTGAATGTTCATTTTTTCTGCATGTAAATCTATACTTAACCAAAAACAAACATTTTTTGTTAATATTTTTGGGTGTCTGGAACAGATTAATTGGATTTACAGTATTTCTTATTTCAGTTTTCGCCGATCTCTCTGGAACGGATTAATGACGAAAACAGAGGGTCCATTGTACTATTATTATCATCATTATAAATATGGTGTCAAGACTAATAAAATACTCTTAGTGATTTTAATGTGTACCTACATGCCAGCAGTGTGAGTAAGTTTATTTAAGTACAGGTACACATAATGTAAGTAATAGATTGGTAGACAGCAAAATCCCAGGAGGTACTACCATCCTGCCAAATGAGCGTAAAACAGAAGCCTGTAATTGTTTTACATGATGGTAGGATTGCTGGCGTCTTTTTTCTGTTTCATATACATGCAAGATTTCAGGTACGTCTTGCTACTTCTACTTACACTTAGGTCACACTACACATACATGTACAAGCATATACATGTATATACACATCCTTTTGGGTTTTCTTGTATTTTTCTTACTAGTTCTTGTTTATGTCCTCTTATCTCCATGGGGAACTGGAACAGAATTCTTCCTCCGTAAGCCGTGTGTGTTGTAAGAGGTGATTAAAATGCCAAGAGACAGGGGCTAGTAACCTCTTCTCCTGTATATATTACTAAATGTAAGAGGAGAAATTTTTATTTTTCCTTTTGGGCCACCCTGCCTCAGTAGGATATGGCCGGTTCATTGAAAGAAGAAACATGCAAGATTTCAAGTACTGTACTATGTCTTGCTACTTCTACTTACACTTAGGTCACACTACACATACATGTACAAGCATATACATACACACCCCTCTGGGTTTTCTCCTATTTTTTTACTACCTTTAAATTTTTACTCCTAAGTAAAAAATTTCTTCCCAATCTGTTTTCCTGGGGGGTAAACCAGGGGGGGGCTTTTCCCCCTTTTTGATGATTCAAATTAAACTAATTTTGTTTTTTTTTTTGGGCACCCCCCCGGGGGGTATCCTTTTGGGAAGGGTACAAAAAAAAAAACAAAATTTAAAAATTGTTTTTTTTGGTTATTTTTTTGGTATGATGGGGTTTTTTTAGTGTTAAAATAGGGTTGTAAAAAAAATATTTTATTAATTTAATTATTTTATTATTTATAAAGGGGATTTTAAATTTTAATTAAGATATTTTTATAAAAAATTTATAATTTAATTTTCCCCCCTAAAAAATTTTAAAAAAAAAAATTTTCCGTAAGCGAAAAGTATGAAAAAAATTTTTTTTCCCAAAAAAATTTTTTTTTAATAAAAAACTGAAAAGCCAAATTCATAAATTTTTTAAGAGGGGATAATAAAAGGGGGAAAGGGAAATTACTTCTTACTTTTAAGGGCCCCCCTTATGGATTGAGGTGAAGGGGGTTTATTTCCCCTTTCTTTTTTAAGAAACCCTTCCATGGCCCTTTGGGTGCAAACCCTCTGAAACCTTCCCCCCCCTTTTTCAGTTTTTCCCCAAAAAGGGCCTCTTTCAAAATTCAAACCCGCTTAAACCTTTCGGGGTTTTTAAAACCCATAAATTTCATTAAAACCCCCCACACTTCCAAATTTTTTGGTAGGTGATTACATTTAAGTTTCGGGGTTTACCCCCCAAAACCCCT